GCCTCTCTAGTACAGGGAGTGACGGTTCCAAATTGTCATGAATATAATTGGTAGACTATATGGGAACAAGTGGCAGCACAGTTTGTATGTGCAAATAGGGAGACAAAAGGTCAGATCAAGAAGTCTGTGTGAAGTACGGACTTCATGCTTGATGGGGTCTAAAAGGGAAATGAAAAGAACACAAGGCAGAAAAGGCATCTCAGTCCATCTCCTCTCCCTCCTCATACAGCAGAACCCAGGTGGTCATCTTCCACTCCCTCCTCAATCCCTTTCATACACACATACACTTCAGAAATATTTCTGAACAATTAAAAAGGAAATAAATGGGAATGATCAGTAGAGTGTAATTTCCTGCTTAAATAGATCAGAACTCTTCCTGTAATTGCTCAAATCTCTGGCCTCATCCCACAGAAGCAGATCTCGACCTGGAGTTAGATTTAAGTCACCTCTTACCTTAAGACCTATGACTGCATTATTACAAACCACCCTTGAAACACTCCCGCATGGCAACGTTTCCAAGCATAGCAACAAGGGGAATGTGCGAGCTGGCTAAATTGGAGAAGACAGCCTTTATTTGAATACCTATATATAGGTGGGATATATTCGTAATAAAGTTTAACACATTTTTCAATAAATTATGATATTGGGGAAGCAATATTCTCCATTATAATGACATTTTTTCTATCTCTCAAGCTCATTAAAATGAGATCCTACCTGTATGCTAATATTTAATAAGCCTGTCTCGGTTATTTCCCCCACACTTAAAGTAATTCATAAAATGTAGACAATGTATGAAAGAAGTGGTTATCAATACAATGTGATTTCAATGCATTAATAACAGGCCCAAATACTTGTTCTGTTTTATGATGTTCTTTATTAAGAAAGCATACTGTGGTTTTGAATTATAAAGCAAAATGAATTTATACTAGTAGCCGTTAATGAAAAATAAGAAATATTTACCAAGGCAAGCATAGTACAAAGAAAAAAATTTCCCCTCCAAAGTTGATAAAATGAAAATGGAATGAAATTGAAATTGTAATAGAAAAGTCATTTCATCACCTAGGGGAAAGAAACTCTGTTAAAAAAAAATGAATGTCATGAGAAATCATCTCTCCTCTATTATCTGATATTAATAAATGATGAGTTAATTTACATGTAAGCATGTTATTGAAAGCCTTGGAAACCGTTAAAAGTTACCATTTTAGATGTAAATGTGGCCAAATGTGAAATTATTCATTCTAAATTTAGACTGAAGTTTATTGGGCATGAAGAAATAATTTATACCCAAAGTATAAATTCTAATAGATAAAATATTTAAAGAACACAACAAAGGCAAACAAAAAAAAAAAGAACACAAACGACTTCCAGCTCCTACTACACATAAGAACATGAAAATATCAACTGCAGAGGCTTTGACATGAAGCAAACATGAGTGAGATTTTAAGTCTCAGAACTCCCCTGGAAAATGGAGACTTTGCAACTTAATACCCATTGCATAAGGTTCGTGTATGTCTTAAATGAAACAGTTATCACTTATGGGCAAAGTAAGAGCTCAAAACATTAGCTATTATTATTGTTAAATTTAGCATCGATTAAAAAGAATAAAGTGAAGTGTTGATGATGATACATTAAGCAACCCTGCAGGTAACCTAAGAATTACTAACTCTTCAACATGTTAGGTTAGCTTCAATTCTACCACACTTAAGAGATTATCAATTAAAGTACTTCTAAATAGCTTGTGATTCAAGCATACCATAAATTAGAACACCTTTAATTAGCCTAAATTGATGTTGGTTTTACGATACCTGGGTCATCCTAAAAAAATAGACTATGTAAAATGTCACAATCCATGCAATAAATAACCAAAGAAACATTATTTTGCCCTGATTTTTATTTTCTTTTTATTTTCCTTCTGAGAGAAGATAAACTTTCATGAAAGTCCCATAAAGAGCAATTAGTCATATAATTTAATTAAATCATGATAGTTATCTCAGGAGGACTAGAAATCCTGTAAATGCACTGATCCATTGAATACCAACAACTCTGTATGTTTGTTTGAACATCAGTAGGTTCTCTGGCCAGCAGCTCTCTATTTCTGTAAGAAAGTATTTTTGCAGTATAATTTGTATGCAGAAATTGGGACCTTGTCACTCATTCACTCCCCCCACCCCAGCCAGTGACTCTTCACTGCTCCATGGCACACACTAAGTATCTGTTGAATTAATGAAGAGAAGTGAAAAAGTAAATAATAGTGCTAGAAAATAATGTCCTTTTTTGACTAATCATTTATAATCCACACATTATACTATATTTTTTAAAAGCCCCCAGGAATAGGGATTTTAGGTGATCAGTATTAAGTGATTCAGGATCTCCTCAAGCATAACAAAAGTATTTTCTTGGCTCTAACTTAAGTCTTTCTTTTGTTCAGTCTTCTCTGTGGTGCGAGAGTTGCTAAACTGTGTAATCCCTGCTTTTGAATTTAATCTAAGAATCTCTGTAAGGTCAATGAGACACCAAGTCCCAGCAGGTATATAATCTGAAGATGCCTATGTTCTCCAGAATTTTGAAAAGAGATGGAGAAATATCAAAATGTTAAAGTCCACAGACTTCTCAGAGTTGGTCTTGAGTTTCAGGGGAAAAGGGAGAAAATATAGTGAGAAATTAATTTATTGAGTTAAAGTTTTTAAACTCATACTTAAGGTGAGGCATCTCCTAGCTCAGTCAATATAAATATTAGAATTCATAGAAGAAAATACTATAATGCCATTATCTTTTGAAAATCAGAACATAACTGATTTAAGACAGAAGGTTCACATAAGATCAAGGTTTATAGCTAAAGTAGATTTATGCTTCTCTAAAATTTTATTTTTTCTTCTCAAAATAAATGTATCAGATATTACTTAGTAAACTGTAATAACTGCAGCTAAATGTGACTTATCTATGGGTTAGCACCAAAAACTTGGTTTTTATTTTACATCTTTAAATGATCCTTATGGATTCAAATGACATGGACACATTTGAAGTGCCACAAACAATTCAAATGTGTTATAAGAGAAAGTAAAAGCAAAGCTTCTTATTCGAGAAACAAAATTTAGTCAAGGTCAAGAATCCTCTCTGAACCAGAGCTTATGTTTGTTCTAGTCTATACTGAACCTGTTTGATGATTCACTGTTAGCTTTGAATGACTCAAACGCTCTCACAAAGTTATGGGCCTGAAAGTTAACCTGCTTTAATTAAGTCTGATAATTGATTGAAAATAAAGAATAATTTGAAGTAATCTCTTACTATGGAGATTAAGGAGCTGCTCCAGAATTATTTAAATCGCCATCAAATTAACCACCCTCTGGGAGGGTGAGTAGAGACATCAGCTCTGTGAACCTACTGAAAACTAGTCTCATGAAGGCACTTTGCTGAAAGGTAGGGCTCGATGAGAAAAGAAGGTGAGACAGCAAAAACTTCTAGATACTTTTGCTGCTGGTCCTGGTAACAGGTATTAGTCACAAAAAGTATAGAAACATGTCTAGGGAACTTTCTTTTCGTGTACCCACTAACGAATCAAGAGTTTGATTAAATCATGGTGCTTCTCGTCTTCCAAAGATAGGTGGAAGGAAGAGTTAAAAGGAGATGTGGATAAAGGCACGTGAAGGGGAAGAAGGGGAAGGAAGGGAAAAACTATTAGTTATCGAACAATTCCTAGAACCAGACTGCTTTAAGAGTTTTTCTGACACTTACAAATGTAAATTTTACATCAACCAAATCGGAAAATTATTAGTATCTCCATTTTATAGATTTCACCTTCAGAAAGGTGAAATGATAAGTAACTTTTCTAGAATCCAACTTTCTCTTTTTATTTTGATTAAATCATAAACACATAGATCATGTATACATTTATGGGGTACAATGTGCTGATTTCATATAGAATTAGGAAAGCTTACATCACACTGGTTAATATATTCCTCACCTCATTGACTTAGTCGTTGTGTTAAGACATTTATGCTCTATACTAATAGATTAGGATCCAACTTTCATGTAGAAGCAACACTGTGGTTTGAACTTGGGTCTACAGCACTAAATGCGTCCACTCTTTTTAAGTATTACCCCAAACACCTTCCAATAATAATGAAAAATAACGATGAAAACCTCCAGGAAATGCTGTGAGCCATGTTCCTACTCACATCCTCTAAACAATTTTCTGAGTATGATAAAACTTAGTAATCTCACTCAGTTTATTACTTCACTCAGGAAGATTCAAGTAAGGGCAGAAAAGCATAAATTGCCATGACGATATGGCACGAAATACACATTTAATAACTACTTTTGATGACAATGGTGACAAAAACTACATATGAAAAATATAGCGTGGAAATAAAAGGAATGGTTAACGGATTTGTTTTATAGTTAAAACCAAACACTTACTTAGTAGATAATCTCCAAGATGGAAAACGCCATTCTGGAGTGAGTGAACAGTGGGGATGGGGTGAGGCTACGTGTGTGTGTGACTAATTCAGGGTGACCCAGCACCCCATAATTACTTGAATATGCTCATAAGTAGAAATACGTTGCGTTGATAATAAATGAAGTGCAGGAAAGTGACAACATTGTCAAAGTTGATTCATCTAGCACGCACATTATAATTCGGCAAATCTTAATTTTTTAAAGCATACAAGTTGACTATTTTATAAACACAAGAAAGCCCCACAAAAATGACAAGGACATCTAGGTTTTCATAATTAGAAACACTAGGAAGTTGATGTTGCTGTTTCGTTTGATTTAGTTAAACTAATCAAGCTGTACCTCACGAAGAAATGTCTTGGATAAGTGTACCCGATGTTTTGTCCATAACATAACCTGATTTTTCACACTTGGGCCAATCAACTATCCTACCTTTTTACTTATGAAAAAAATCAACCCAATTTAAATGAGTATATAATTGTGTTTTTCCAAAGCATACACAGGCACCCATTAAAAAAGCAGTGCTTACAATTATAAAAGTAACTTACATATTTGGTTTCTCGGCCAGCTGCTCTTGGAAGAGTCGTAGGAGTCTGCATGAAAATAAAAATAATCAGACTTCTGAAATAATCAAGGGAGTAATCAAATACCCAACTTCTGTGAAGTTCTCACATTTTTCTTAACATTCTAAACATCTTTTCAATACAAAATCTTCTGGGAAAAATTATTTTATTAAACTATACCACTTTATTCTTTTTGTTCCTTTTATCTATTGGCTTTCTGATAATTTTCTCTTTTATAATTATTGATGATATTAATTCATTGATCATAGCAGTTTCTTCACCACACTTCTTCCATAATCTTTGGCTATTTTAAAATTCATGAGAAATTCCTATCCTCTCTGTTCTTTGAACTGCTCAATTCCAAAAATATTCTGTCTTTTCAGTCCCGGGACCATTCCTGAACTTTACCTTCATCAATAAAATACAAAAATTCTGAAATTTTAATTTCAAATGTCCCACTATCAGAAACTGTCCTACTGTCCTGCTATCTACCATCTTCATTTCTTTAATCACCAATGAAGCCTCCACTTCAATGGGACTTCAAAATCACTAACACTCACCACCTTCATTCTGGCTTTATTGCCTCTTAGCGTACCTACATTTCGTATCCCAGTCATTTTAATACTTTCATTTTCCTTACATCCCACTCTTCTTATGAAAAGTTCACTTACAAAAAAGACAAACATCTCTAGATGGGAATTAATATCCATTTTGATCCATACTTGTACCTGAGAAGCAAAACATTGCCGGGAAAACGCAATCAAACTAATAGATTTTATTTTAAGTTAATAATGATGAACTTCAAATGTGCATTCAACATTGCCTGGTGGGCCCCCAATTTTTCTCTTGTTGACTCATTTTCTGAGACGGAATGGCTGTGTGATTCACTCACCCATTCAACAAACATTGTGTGTCAGACAGGGTTCCACACCCTTGAAATGTATCAGTGAAGAAAAGGGACAAAGAAGTCCTGCCCTGGGGGAGCTCACATTCCCAAAACAGAGAATAGGCTACAAGATAATAAATAAGCAAATTATCTTCATGTTAGAATGTGATAAGTGCAATGGAAAAGAGGGCGAGGAAGTTGAAAGCTAAGGTTTAGGATATCAAAAGTGCCAGGGACTCACAATTGTGAATAGGATGATCAATGTAGTGGAGCTGACATCTGAGCAGGACTTGCAGGAGGTGAGGGTGCTGGCTATGTAGCTATCTAGACAGAGCATTCTGACAAGAAGGAGCAAGTGAAAAGTTCTTTGGGGGGGGCAGTTATCTTCTGAAAACGAGAGAGACCTAGAAGCAATCCTCCCATTATGCATAAGGAACAATAAATAAGTAGAGCAACATATTGAAAACCATCCTGTCAAAGATAGAAAGAAGTGAAAAGATAGGGATTAATTAGTGGACATGATCAGGAGAGGATGGGAATGAGGAAGTCCAGCAACCGAGAACTGCTTTTGCCCTGGGGATGTTTGCAGATAATAATTTGTTGCTTGAGAAGCTGACCCACACTCTTGAATAGGGAGATAAAAGTCAGAGACAAGGACTTTCGAAAAATAAACTGAACTCCGGGTGTAAGAATGATCCAGAAGACCTCATGTGATTTTCAGCCCAGTCTCAAATCATCTGAAAATGACTATCTACAAAAAATAATCTCAAACCTTCACATTTAAAGGTAATCCTTTTTTGCTTGTCCTCCCAGTGTTTGGCAGAAGAAAAAACAAACTCTATAGGAAGGTAAAATCACCTGAGGTCTCAAATAATTCCTATAAATAAATTTTCAAATAGAATACCCAGCACATAATCAGATTCATACACACAAAGAGGCGGGACTTGTGAGGATGAGCATAAACAGTATGTAACGGAAAAAGACCCACAGAGAATTCTGAAATATGTTTCTTTATTTTTTCAGAACCAGAATGAAGCAACCATACTTAATCATGACTTTGGAGGTAAATGTTAAACTTGCAAATTTTTACAGAGAACTGGCAACCGTAAAACATGATATAACTAATGTGAAAAGAAGCTACCTGTGCTGAGGCACAGCAAGGAGGCTGGCAGGGCTGGTGGGGAAGGGAGTTACAGAAAAGCACATTATGGAATTGCTGTGGATCAGATCACACAGGCTCTTTAAAGACCTTGCAAAAACTTTAGCCTGTATTCTGGGGAAAATGTGTAGGCACTGCTAATTTTGAGTAGACAAGGGCCATAAATCTGACTTAAGCTTTGAAAGGAGCTCTCTGATGTGCTAGAAATGGATGATAGTGAAGCAGGTGGATGGGTCAAAGCTATTGTACTATTTAGCAAAGTTTAGCAGTGCAAAAGGTATGAAATAATCATCCGCCACGTCCTTTGAAGGTGTAGCACCAGGACCGCCAACAGCAAGATTTGAAGGCAAAGGGTGGGGAGGGGGGGAGGATGGGTGAAGAGAATGATATTGTGGGGATCACGCCTATAATTTATCCTATTAGGGTACATGTGAATCTGTCTAAAGGTTGCATATAAATGTCTTAACACAACAATTATGAGAAAGACATGATGGCTATGTTAGCCAGTTGGATGAGAGTTTTCCAAACTGCATATGGAAGCAGCACACTGTATCCTATGATAGAATTAATGTACACAACTATGATCTAATAAAAAAAAAAGTTTCTGGCCTTGAACAAATGAAAGATTGGAATTCTATCAATGGAGATGGGATGACAGCATATGGAATGGTTTCCTGGGAGGAAATCTAGAATTTATTTTGACACATACTGAGTTTGAGACATTCGTTAGAAATCTAAATGAAAATTAAGAGTAGGTAGTTGGAAATCTGGAGTTGGGGAGAGAATCCTGGACTAGAAGTATGAATTGGAGAGTCATCAGCATGTATGTACTTGAATTTCAAAACACCCAACTAGGTGAGAAAACCAAGGGAAGGGACGTAGAGAGAAATGAGAAGCCTGAGGGCTGATCGAAAGGGCGTTTCAACGTTAGTAGTTTGGGAAGAAGATGAACCAAAGATGAACCAGCAAAGGAGGCTAAAAACCAATAATGAAAAGTGAGGCAGGGGATAAACTGACAGAGAAGGGTGTTCCAAAAGGCACTAGAGGAAAGTTACCAAAGGAGAGAGAGAGAGACCAGCTGTCTTAAATTCTGTTACTCCATCCTCTCAGATCAGGAATCAGCTGATAGCAATGGGTAGAACTTAGGGACCCTGGAAAAAAATGGTTTGGGCAGTGTGAAAAGAAGGGATTTAAGAGGAAACTAGAGAAGGATAACTAAAAAAGAGTGTATAATTCTTTCCAATTTTTTCAAACTCCCATCCCACCTTCTCCTCTTTCTAAAAATGTGTTTACTGTTTATGGCAAATATGTAAAACAACACACCTTCTCCTCTTGATCCAAGTCAGCGATCTTATAACTTACATCCTCAAAAAGTGTCAGGTATGAAATAACTAAATAGAAATAATAGTTGTACAAATTCTTCCTTTTCCCACTGCCAACCTCCAAACATTCTTATATTTATTTCTGTCCCCTTTATTTTCTGTCCTGTTACAGTGAAGGATGTTTCTAACTGCTTATCCAAGGGTTCCAGCCTATGTGGGCTCCTATAACAAAATATCATAGACTGAGTAGTTGATGAACAACAGAAAATTATTTGGCATGGTCTGGAGGCTGGGAAGTTCAAGGTCAAGGTACTAGCAGTTTCAGTGTCTAGCGAGAACATGTTTTCAGGTTCACTGATGGCATCTTCCTAGTGTATTCTCACAAATGGGAAGAGCCAAAAGATCTCTCAGGGGACTCTACAATTCCAGTCCTGCAGCACAAAATCACTTAGAGTGGTGGAGATGGAGAAGAGAGCTGATGTGATTACAAGGTGGTGAGCCCAGGAGAAGGGTGCAAAGTGAGGCTGGGAGGGTGGTGTAAGCACAGTGATTTCCACACTTGTTTGCCACAGCATGGCATGGATTGCTTGGATTTCCAGAAAATAGGAAGACATAAAAACATGCTGGAAATGATATAAAACCAATGAAAGCAATCAGGGTGGCTGTTCTGAGGAAGCTCCTGTGGGCAGGTTGCTGGGTGGGCTTCACTTATTTCCATCTGTGTGAATTTTACATGTCTCTGATACTTGCGTATCTCAAAATTTTTATAATTACCCACATATACAATAAAATGGATTTCAGATACAGAAACTACAATTATTCATGTTTGGGTCCTCTCTGCTAAAATATAGTTTCTTAATATAAACAATAACTAGCGACTGAATTCTTACATTGTTACTAATGGATATTTGCCTGATATTTCAATTGCAAATTAGCATTACTTTTCTAGTTATGTGCAATTCCATACATATAAAACCTATGTCTGATGCACGATGTTTCATTTTTTATGGGGCCTGCAAGCAGTATTTTTACTAATTCCAAGGGAAAAAATAAGGCTAAAAAAAATACTAACAATTATCAATAAAAGAAAACCACAAACATTTTGAAATTTGGAAGAGTAGAGCTGAACTTATTATTTTATTACAAAAAAAAAAATAGTCTGGAAAAATGCAGTATTTTATTCCAAAACATGAAAATACATCTTGAAAAGGAATTACTTAAGGATTCCATTACAATAATTAATAGTTTAGCAGTATCCTAGCAACCTAAAATATCCAGGTTTCTTTTCCTTTGAAATATATTTAGTCACAAAAATTTAAAAATCCAGAAATAGCACTTGTGTTAAAACTCTTAGATCAATGCTCCTTTAAACTACTTCATTTTTCCATTTCTACAATTCTATCAGTGGCTGTAAATTATGTAAATACTGAATCTGTGGTTTGAGATGAGAATGAGCCATAAATTCCACATGCAGTTCTATAAAATGCCAAGATACAACATAATCTACCATGCTAGCTTTCCAACTGTTTTGAAATTGGCCCACAGTTAGAAATAGATTTTACTTTGCAAGACTGTGCACATTTACCTCCATGTGTACACCTAAACAAATTAAAAGAAATGCCAGTAATATCTTTCTACTACTTATAAGAGAGCCTAATACTTTGCTATTTAAAAATGACAATTGCACTCATATGTTTATAGCGGCATAATTCACAATCCCAAATATGGAATCAATCTAAGAGCCCGTAAGTTGATGAGTGGGTTTAAAAAATCTGGTATACACATATATGCCATGGAATATTATTCAGCCATAAAAAAGAGTGAAACGATGCCTTTTGTAGCAATTTGGATAAAATTTGAAGCCATTATCCTAACTGAAATATCTCAGGGATGGAAAAAAAAATACCACATATACTCACTTGTAAGTAGCATGTACTCACTTATAAATGGGAACTAAACGATGGGTATATATGGTCGTACAGCATGGCGTAAAGGACTTTGGAAACTGGGGGTAGGAGAAGGGATCAAAAACTATCTCTTGAGTACAGTGAATTCTATTAGGGTGACCGACACTAAAAGCTCTGACTTCACTACTAGGCAATTCATCCACATAACAAAAAAACCACTTGTACCGTAAATCTATTGATAATGAAACAAAACTTATGAGTGCCCAAGTAAAAAGACACACCTGATCACTCTCCACTAAATTTATTCCCAATTCACTATTGGGCCTCGATGTATAATTTGAAAGTAATTGATCTAGTAAATCTTATTATTCAGTAAATTATAGTAAAATATATACATACTTTGATTGTGTCAGAACCCAACAATGTCTGTGGGGACCTTGAAGGAGAATCAGAAGAATGCTGAAAAAAAGAAGAAGAAAGAACGGAGGAAAGAAAAAGAAAAGAACAAGCCTGTGAGGTATCGTACTAAAGCAGAGGGAATGGACAGAAGCCAAGCAAATGTTTGAATTGCACATTCTAGTCTAAGGCATTACCATAGACAAGGAATCCTGTAAGACCTTATCAATGGTAGCACAGACCTCTTCAGTTTGCTTCCTGAGCTGTGCAGGGAAACACAACTGGAAGAATTGAAACCAGGTACTGGGTTAGCAATGAGTTTTTGGGATTGCGTACCAAAACCAAGGGAAATTTGAAGTTATTACCTCCATAGGGAATTCTAACAGGTTGTCCTTGGAGACACTTTCAGTCTTGGCTGGTTCATCTAGTGCCTAGTGATAAATGAAATAGTTCTCATATGAGACTGGCAGTCAAATACCATTGCACTAAAAATGTCTTTTCAGAGCCCTATAGATACCCAGACTTCTAAGAACAAAATCTGAATTGTTTAGCGAGCTGTTTTTGAAGGCCTTTCCAACATTGGCTCAGTTTCTTCTGTGAATTAGTATCTCCGGTCGAAAGTGTCACAATAATGAAAAACAGTTGAGGGAGATTTTTGTTTGTTTGTTTTACTTTTATCTCCATTTTCGATTTCCCTTTTCTTTCAATTTTTGAACGTTTTAGTTGATTCGATGTGGGATTGCTTTCCTATTCTTTATTCACTAATTTGAACATGTGGCAGAGACAATGCTAGGAGTGTTATCAGATGCTTCATTTTCTTGAGCACTATACAACATTTCCTTGGCCTCAAGAATTTGGCTGATTGATTCGGGGGGCTGTAACTATGACTTGTGACTGATTTTTCATTAGAAGGCAACCGAAAGTGATGTGCAACTTCCAGTGCAGTCAGTTAAGTGTTGACGCGAGTTTCCACCATTCTGTCTCTCCTAAGATGCAAGATGGCAGGAGACCATGTTACTGAGTCATCACACGACGAGAACCATGTGGGAGAGTTAATTGAAGTGACATCAAACTGCGATGAAGGAAGGAAGGAACGGTTGATTGCCTTAAACCAGTGAAACACCAGGGTTTGCTGTGTCAGGAAATGTTTATATTAACTAATACAGGCACTGTAGTCTACATATTTTTAGAAATTACCCTTGAAATTGTTCCATTCATATCAAAGTCTAACCCAAGCAATACCAATATCTTAGAATACTTCACATGCTATATAAGAAGCTTGAAATTAGACAATTCAATACACTCCTCTTGTTTTCATGCTCTAATTGCCAATGCATTATATTTAAATATGTTCTAAGCACTTTATCGTATTGTAAGTTTTGCTTTAAACCATTAAGATGATTATAAAGAAATTTTAATACAGAGTGGCCACAAAGTTCAAGTGCAATCCCACACTATTTTAAATTGCACATGACCTTTATGGCCACTGTGTAAAATAATATGTATTCATTACTCCCATAATTACTCCCATATCATCATTTACCATGTCCTGACTTAAAGTTCTGTGTCTCTCTTTGCCTTCAAGCCTGAAAATCTTCCTTAGTTCTTTTCTGCTATCAAGGAATTTTCTTAGATTTCTCTTAGCTGAAAATATCCTTACTTTATCTTTTGTCTTGGAAGAATTATTCCTGGACATATAATGTAGAGTTGCTTTTTTGCTCTAGCATTTTAAAGGTGTCCTACCATCGTCTTTGACCTTCATTGTTTATAATGAAAAGTTAGTATGTTTGTAATTCTGCTCCTCTTCACGTAGTACATACTATTCTTCTCTGCTGCTTTCAAGATTTTCTCCGTTTTTGTTTCTCCTTATATATATTTCAGCAGTTTGGTCATGATGCTACTAGGATTTTATTAAACATTCTTAAGATTATCTGAGCTTCTTGAAAGTATGCATTCATCTCCTTCACCAAATTTAGAAAATTTTTGGCTACAAATTGTTTTGTCCCACTCTCTCTCTCCTCTCCTTCTGAGACTCCAATTCCATTTTTATATTTTCCCACAAGTCACTGGAGCCTTGTTCAATTTTTCTATCTTTTTCCTTTTCAAATCAGGTAATGTCTATCAAATACATCTCCAATTTCACTGACTCCTTAGTTATCTCCAGTGTTTTCTTAAGCCAATGCAGTAAATTTTTTTAATAATATCTTATTTTCTATTTAATTCTGCTTCTTATAGTTTCTGGTTTTGTGCTGAGAATTCCTATATGCTAATTTACTATGAACATATTTTCCTTTATACACTTGAGCTTATTTATAATGTTAATAACAGCTTTAAAATTATTATCAGATAATTACAATATCTGGAATACTTTGGGTTGATAACTATAAATGTTTTCCCTCGAGTATGAGTTACATTATTCTTCGCATTTTTTAAATTTTAAGATTATAGCCTGAATATTTTGAATAATATGTTATAAAGACTCTGAATTCTGTTATGGTCTCCTGAAGGGTATTATTGTTGTTGTTGTTTAGTTTTAATATGCAGTTAATTTGGCTCCAAAGTGGGCAGCAGCTGAAATCTTTCTTGCATTCTTTCACCCTTTGCTGAGCTTAACGGGTACATTCAATAGCTTGTCCAAAGCTTTGGGGAGAGTTTCTATGTTGCATATATAGCTTCCCTTTAGGGACTCTCTTCTCCATGATTCTCCTCTCACTTTCCACTTCCTGAGTCACCTGTTCTCTCATTTCCCACCCAGGAACCTTCAGGTTTTCCATTGAGTTCTCACTACATCATAGTGAGCAAACAGGGGGCTACCCCTAAGGTTATATATATATGTAATCTAGAAAAGTCCCAGTGCCATTTCCTTCTTTCAAGCATTGACCACTGATGTTATTGCATTTTCCCTCTGCCCTTGGTCATGCCCCAGTACCTGCAGACAGCTCTTTTGTATATGCTGTTGAGAGTGTACCACGGTTATCTGCATAACAGTTTGATCCAATATAAGCTATTCCTTCATTTCCCGAAGCAGAATGAGGCAAATTAAATTTAAATGCAACTTTAATTTCAATTTTTTTCAGCACACATTTTCTTTATCACAGAGATTGTATAAATTCAAATCTCGATCCTGCCTAAGGGTAGGCTTAAAGGGTTTTGTTTGTTTGTTTTTTTCTACCCTCAGCCCAGACGTATATAAGAAATTGTGCTTGTCATTTCCTTTTGCAATTTTTTTTTTTTTTTTGTGGAGACAGAGTCTCACTTTATGGCCCTGGGTAGAGTGCCGTGGCATCACACAGCTCACAGCAACCTCCAACTCCTGGGCTTAAGTGATTCTCTTGCCTCAGCCTCCCGAGTAGCTGGGACTACAGGCGCCTGCCACAACGCCAGGCTATTTTTTGGTTGCAGTTTGGCTGGGGCGGGGTTTGAACCCGCCACCCTCCATATATGGGGCCAGTGCCCCACCCACTGAGCCACAGGCGCCACCCCCTTTGCAAAATTTTTTTTCCACATCCTTCTTGTAATTGAGAGCGTAACCCTTCTAAAGCCCCAGTGGTGAGATGGGGATGCAATTCCTGTTCCCTGTCTCACTCAGCACCAAGTCTTTCCCTCCCCTTCCCAAGTTGACAGCATATCTCAGTTCTTATGATTCATGAAATTAATACCTTCAGAACAATCAAAGCCTCAGCACCCTGATAAGCATTCTGAATTCCATCCTGTTTTTGGTACTTAACCCTCGGAGATGTCCCCTTCTTTTTTAGGAGCTCAGCTTTACATTGGATTGAAACACATAAAATTGCCAATATTTAACAGAAAAGAGTTACTAAGGTGGCAATTTCATGTGGTTCAACTTATTTTTAATGCACTTTTTTTCAAACTATCTAGTTCTAATCCACTTCCAAAGTTTGACAATTTCCCACCATTAAAGGCTATCAAAAAATATGTGCCAAGAGTTCTAAAGGCAATTACGAAAGAGGTTACCAAAAATGTAATAAGTAATTGCAGACTAATTCGAGTAAGTTGTTGGTTCCTCAAAGCAGTTACTTTCAACAGAAAAATGATCACTTGAACATATATGTTCTGGTAAATTTGTAAACAAACAAAAGACTCATTTCTCTACTGTATTGTCTTATAAAAGTTTTTAGGATTATAGACTGTCCTGTTTTTTACTTAGATTTACCTCCTACCTCTCCTCTATTAACATTCTCTTCTGGTATATCCTAACTACAAGGTGTACTAGCAGCCACAGGATCACGGAACCCACTGCTCATCACCATCTATTTGCTCCTTCCAGTAGAGCACAGACATGATAGATCCAGAATTATTAGACTTTCCAGCAGGTTCCATATCCACATGGTAGAGTTGTCATGTTGGCATAAAATATATCCCTAAAAAGGGACATCTAAAAGATGAGATTTTATCATCTATCTGTCATTTTAACAGCTCACAAAGGAAAATATTGTCTGAAAGTTTTGTTTTCAAAATCTGTTTCTCTATATTAAACAACAATATTTGGAAGTTTGGCTATATTTTAAAACCTAAGAAAAACATTTAGGACCACCTGTTTCTTACCATAAAAAAAAACTATTTTATGGTTTCTTTCTTCATGTCTTAAAATTATTATTAATTATGAAAAATTGTTGTAAAGGAACACAAAATTGCAAAAAATAACTCCTAGCTTGTGGTGTTCAAATGGTTTAAATTTTCCCTGATGCATCATTTTCATCACTTCTTAACTACCCTGCTGATGAGGAAGAGGTTGTGTAAATGGATGATTGCATGACTCCCAATGCTAGAAGGATAAAATCCATAACCATTCACTAGTTACTTTTACTAACAATCCAGGGGAGGAGGGCATTGCACACCATGCAGGGTCACACAGGGTTGCACTAAGGAGCAGGGTGAACAGCTAGGGTATCAAGAGAGTGCAGAGTCCCTGGTCCCCCTGAAGGAGGTTGTTGGCCTGTTTGAGTAGTTCCCTGGGAGCTGTAACTATTACTAAGGCACAAGCAGAACTGCACCTGGTTAGTTTCACAAGGAGGATTGTTGCTTGGCCAGGAGACCTGACCTGCAGGAGCAAAGAGAGGGGGGAACTTGCAGCTGGGCCATTTGAGATCTCCCAGCTTCACCAGATGTCACAACACTGGACCTTAATTTTAGGCTTTACACCACACCTGATCTCTGATAATTATGGAGAAGGAAAAGGCCAGACATGAAAGACCAGGACTAGAACAGGCTCCTTGGGAGGGAATTTCACTCTGGGCCTCGCTCACCTTGCAGACAAGGCCTTCCACCTGCTCCTCTCGCTGCTCTTGAACCACAAAGAATTGCTTGAGTTCTTTGAATTTGTGGTGATCTTTTGTACTATATGTTATTAACTCTCCTTACATCACCCTTCCTCCACTTTCAATTCACTCAGAAAATTCCTATTTATCCT